TATAAGTACCTGAGATGGAAAGGATAGAATTGTAACTTGCCCTACATTGGGCAACTCTTGAAGGCCACTGTCACTGGGTTCCTTCCTCAGGGCACCCAATGGACTCTGTGCTGGGCCTCTGCACTCACTTGAGCCTCTGCTCGGTGATGTCTGGGTGTAGCTGGGTCAGCTGCCTCCCGTGCACCCACTCGTGGCTAGGAGTGTCTCTGGGGTGCCCTGCTAACACTTTCTCCCTCAAAGGACTTAAACTCCACACACCCCTTTTGTCCGTTCACAACATCCCTTCTTGGGGTCTGGGTTTATTCAGATAAAACAAACTCAAAAGTAAAACTCAGTGTCCCAAATCAAAATCCATTTTTTACCCTCTTGTCACTCCCAGGCCTTTCCTGCCTATAGTCTCAGTCCCATCTCCCGGGACACTCTGCTGGAGCCTACTCACTCTAGCAGTCTCTGATCACCCTACTCCCAGGCCTTCTTGCCTGGAACCTTTCCTGTTGTAGCCGGCCACTCCCAGTGCCTCCCTGCCTGGAGTCTCAGTCCCAGGAATCTCTGCTGGAGCCTGGTCATGCCTAGGAATATTTTATCTCCCTGAACATCCCCCTTCACTGGAGGCATCTGCTGCCCTTTACAGGGAATTACCTGATTCAACCCAGGTTTGCCTCATTCTGTAACCAGGGCTGACTAGCCCCAGCCTTCCAGCCCTTAAGAGGCAAGCCACCCTGTAACACTGGATGTTCCAACACACCAACCAGTCGTAAGAGCCTCAGCCTTGAACAGCTAGCCTTGCCCTTTCCAGGGTTCTCAACAAATACAAAAGAAACACAAATGAATTGTCCCAGGATGTGGTTCATCTCTCTGCCTTCAGAGAGGCTTTTGTTGAGTTGCAGCCACAATTAGGCTCACAGACTGATATGGAGAAATAGTCTCCTCAAAAGATGTATCTTTCTTGAGGGAGGGGCCATCAAGGAACAGTTAGGTGAGGAGCGCTTGCCTTGAACCAGCCCTCTCTCCCATCTGCCACCAACTTTTCTTTTTTTCTATTTCATGGAGAAGCAGACTTGATTAGATGGTCTACATCAGTGGTGGGCAACCTGCGGCTCGTCAGGGTAAGCTGCTGGGGGGTTGCTAGACAGTTTGTTTACATTTGCGTGGTCGCCCGCAGCTCCCAGTGGCTGTGGTTCGCCATTCTCGGCCAATGGGAGCTGCAGGAAATGGCACGGGCAGCCGTGCAAATGTAAACAAACTGTCTGGCAGCCTGCCAGCAGATTACCCTGATGGGCCGCGTGCAGCCCACAGTCCGTAGGTTGCCCACCACTGGTTTACATCCTCCACCAACTATAATTCCTAAATACCTAATGGTTTATATTTTCTTGTTCTGCCCTATGTTTTTCGGGCATTGTAACAACCCCATTTCCCCAATATTTTTACTAAATGATGTAATGTAACTTACAAAGTCCTTACATACCCATAAAGGTGATCAATTGTTTCTTCAGCCTTACAGTGCTCACATAGTCCATCTTTGTGTTTGTTTATTTTTGTTTAAGCCACAATAGCCTGCAGGTACTCTAAACAAAAATACTTCATTTTTTCTTTCCTGAGCCTGATGTATGTCATTATCCTCAACTCTAAGACACAATTAAAAAAAATCTTCCTCTTTTTTTGTTGATCCAGATTTTTTGTCATTCCTTTTTGAAATTGTTCTGTACTAGGCTTTTGAATTCCTGTTCACTCAAGGAAATTTCTGTCTATATCCTTTCATTTCTTACAGCACTTTTAGCTCTGCTGCCAACTGTGGTGTGCTTTTCCCTTTTAAGCTCCTCCCTCCAAATCAGATCTCTCTCACTGGTGTGGCAGGGCAGGGCCACCTGCTCATTAATCCTGTGTTGGCCAGTGTGGGAATTGTACACTTCACCACAAGCACCCAGAAGCTTCAGCCAGAAGAGAATATGTCCCTTATGCTTTTAAGGTAGGGTAGATAACAAGAGCATATTATACCTGTGCTCGGGGCTCTTCAGAGACTGTCACTTTGCTGCTAGGTGCAGTTCTAGGTTCTGATTAAGCCTTAAATTGTTTAGTTATCTCAGGAGTAGAGACATCTCATCATGGAACTGAGGTGGGCAGGGACTCAAAGGCAATTGGATCCTACTGTTGAGCTTATGGGTGTCAAAAGGGTAGAGCTCTCCTAGAACTCAGAATTTGCCTTGGTCATCCTCTGGGTGTTCCTTTCTTCTGACGCGTTATATTTCCTGTCAGTGAACATTATAGCTAAACTTGCTTCTTGTAACTAACTGCCCTGAAAAAAGTATATTTCAATAGTCTTGGAGTTACCAAGTTTCTTATCGGGACTTAAACTTCCCAAAGTTCAGTGTTTGAGTCTAGAAGCATATCTTCTTTTCACCTCGGTAAAACACATTTTGTAATGAAAATCCACAACTTGTGCATGTTTACAAAAAGAGGGGAAAGTAAAATTTTGTTATTTTCCCTTTGTGTGTAAAATTTTTTCAAACGACACTATAAAAATAACTAGACTTATTGGGAAACAGTAAAAGGTCTCCAAAAAATCTGCACTGTTCAGGAGTCAACAGAGTTAATGTAAATACTCTATGGTGATGATGAGCAAGATACCATAGCAGATTTTCTGGAGAGAGGGGATGAATTTAGATCTACTATGAATGACCTTTTTTATTGCATAATCCGTACAGAGAAGAAACTTGGCAATCTATATACCAAAGTCAAGACAATATTTTTGTAAGATAGATAGATATAATTGCTACTTAACAAGGCCTAAGCTTAATTCAGAAGTGTTGTCTGGTATTATATATCTAATATCTGTAGGAGAGAAATAATTAAGATGTATGTTTTTTGTAAGTGATCAGGAATGTTTGTAAGGGTTACATAAATAACAGACTAATCATTATTATCTAACCATTAAAAGGCATACCTTACTGCATATATCTTCATTTAAATCAGATTTTATTAGAAGATTCTGAAGGATAATTTTATTTTTCTCTTTATGGTTAACACAGTGGCAATTATTAATTTGTGAGTTCCATAGGTAAAATATAATATTACACTGAAAAATATATTTCTTTAAATTAGGCATGAATTTCAGGGTGATTATATTGTATGAAGAAACTCAGTGATTTATCAAAACTCACACCTGCCAGATCTCTGCACTAACTCTTTCCCCACTCTGCAGAGAATTAACAATGCCAATGGAAAAATCAAACTTAAAGAAAAAACAATTTCAGACATTTTTCTTGTTTATCTTAGGGTATGTGTTGGGAAGAAAAGAAAAAGAAAAACCCAACTTGGGCTTGGGCTGCGGAGGTGTTTCGTTGCTGTGTAGACATCTGGGCTTGGGCTGCAGCCCAAGTTCTGGGACCCTCCCACCCCCTCATGGTCCTAAAGCCTGGGCTTCAGTCCGAGCCCAGAAGTCTACACAGCAATGAAATAGCCCCGCAGCCTGAGCCCTGCAAGCCCAAGTCTGCTGGCAGGGGCTAGTTGCGGGTTTTTCTTTAGTGTGTAGACATACCCTTATAGACTGTTATAACTAGTCATGTTCCTTTAAACAGAAATGTTTGCAAAGAAAAGGGACCAAATTCACAGTCCATTTTGGTCAATTTCATGGTCATAGGATTTTAAAAATCGTAAATGTCATGATTTCAGCTATTTAAATCTAAAATTTCATGGTGTTGTAATGGTAGGAGTCCTGACCCCAAAAGGAGTTGGGGTGGGGGGTCGCAAGGTCATTGTCTGTGGGGGGGTTGCGGTACTGCTACCCTTACTTCCAGGGATTTGGAGCAATCAAATTTTTGAATTGCTCTGCTCTGGCTCCGGTCCAGCTCCGGGCAAAAACCTACTGGTCTGTGCTCCTGCTCCAGGCTCCGCTCCAAAGCCCTGCTTGCTTCTGCGCTGCTGCTGGAAAGCGGCGGCTGCTGGCTGGGATCCCAGCTCTGGAGGCAGAGCAGCAGCACAGAAGTAAAGGTGTCAGGGTATGGTGGTATTATGGTATCCCTTACTTCTGCACTGCTAGTGGCGGGGCGCTGCCTTCAGAGCTAGGCGCCTGGCCAACAGCTGCCACTCTATGGCTGCCCAGCTCTGAAGGCAGCGCAGAACTAAGGGTGGCGATACTCTGACCTCCCTTTGCATTCTAGTTTTTGGCTCGATACATTATAACAGTGGTCATTTGCAAAATTTGGATCCAGGTTTGGATTTTGAACACCACCAAAGTTCAGATCCAGGGTTTTAGTTTGGGGCCTTCTCTAGTTGCAAGCAATTATTACTTTTCTCATCTCGGTTATAAATCCATTTCAACCCTGAAAACTGTATGGGAGAAAAACACACTATATAGTTGGGTATGCGATATAAAATGGAAGAAGATATTTCTCTTTTTCTGTGAGAATAATTAAAATAAGATGTCTTGTACCTTCCCCATTTGAGTTATCCCTCCTTTCCCCACTCATGAAAATAAATGTCATGCAAGAGATCACCCATCAGGTACTCACTTTGTGTTTACACAGGCATAAGCCGTATTTCCCCAGTCAGTGTAGCTATTCACCTCAAAGCTGTGGTTCATTCTTGGGGCTCCACTGTTTTTCATAAACTGTACTGTGGCAGCTTGACGCAAGTCTGGTCTGAAACAGCTACTCTGTATAGCCACAACAGCCACTGTTCCCCACTATATTGTCTATATGCCATGCTTTTCAGGCTTCATGTATTTTCCTCCCCCCTAGACAGGAAAATAGGGCCTCTGCATGTGTTTAACCTCACTTTTTTGCAGGATACTAATATTTCTGCTCTTAATTGACTGTAGTTTTACAGGAGTGTGTGTCCCAGATGTGATTGCTCTAAAATGAAAGAGTATCAGTGTTGGGCTTGAATATCTGCAATCTGATTACCAAAATGCCCTTGCATTTTATTTTGAAAGTTTCTTTCACTTGGGTATGACATTTCTAAATAACACTGGTAATCCTGGATTTCCCCCCTTGTTTTTACAGGTGACCTGTAACTGTTTCACCATCAGTAATGGAGAAATGCAGGATGTTGGTGTTGGCCTGTATCCCAGGTACTGTGGACACTGTTTCATTCACAGGCAAAAACTCTGTGTGTGGCTTTATTTATTTATTTCTAGCTAGCTAGCTAGAGGGGTCACTGAAGTAGCCGATACCATAGCTAAATAAGAAATTAGGAAATGCAAATAAATTACAAGAACATGAAAAACATGATTGGGTTTAAAAATATTTTTAAACTCCTAATTGCAGAGTTTTAACATAATTTAGACAGGACAGCTCTTTATACCTGAATTCTTGTTCTCATGGAGACCCTAATCTCTTCCTGGCAGGGGTAAGGATAAATTTTGCCGCTAAAACATGAGACTTGGGCTTCTTAAGAAAGTAGCAAGAAGCTTGGGTAAATATTTCCTTGAAAGAATAGGGTTTTTGCAGCCCACCACCTTTCTTGTTGTCACATTGAAAGGGAATATAGGATTTTAGATATGAAAATTAAGAGTAATCAAGAAAATATTATAATGACACTTTGGTACGCCCACACCTTGATACTGCATGCAGTTCTGATCGCTTCATCTCAGAAAAGATGCATTAGAAATGGATAAGGTACAAATCTTAGACGTTGGTGTTCTGTCCTCCTGTTGCCAGCTATCTCCTTAGTGCACATGGGCTGATGGTCAGATGAGAGCTCCCTTACCTAGATAGGTTTCTTTGACCTCCTCAAGATTCGTAGGGGCTTCTGTATGGTTCAGTGCAGGACTAGGGCCAGAAATGGTTGAGTGCAACCCTTGGCAAAGCCTTCCACCTGGTCTACCAGAACAGCTTCCATTTTGGGTGACAGAAAGGTCACTCCCATCAACACTGAATCCACTGAGTATGATAAAGAAAGAAAGGAGCCCTGCAGGGTGGCCAGTCTATCCTTGCTCCCTTTCATGTACAGCTTTGGAGGGTTTCACATCACACAGCTGCTCTTCCCTCCTGGTGTCTCCTTCTCTGTTAACTGGATTGGAGATCTGCTGAATGTATTTTACGGGCTCCCTCTCATTCTCAACGTCCTCCAGAACATGGGAAAAGAGGTGTGACCATGCAGGATCTGGCACTCAGTGCGTCAGCTTTTTTCCTGGAGAGATCACATCCCATCCCATTTCCCCTGGTCACATACCTTCTCTCAGTATCCAGTCCTCCGTGGTCCCTTGGTAATGTCTGCCTGAAGGCCTAGTAGTCAAAGATGGACATGGCAGAGAGGTGGTTGGTGGCTAAGTGGTAGATACCCCCTATTAGCAATCAAAAAGCAAGTTATCCAAGAGATACTCAGAATAAGAACCATCCTAATTAAATTTTCCATGGGAATTGAACTATAGCCTTTCTGGATCTAAAATCATGAGCATCTATTGCTTGAGCTAACAGACCAGACCCATTACCTCAAAGGCAATAGCATAAACCTCTGTACACAGTCTAACTACTGGAAAGGGACAGAGAGCCACATTTTGTTAATGTGGGTTTACACAAAGGTGCTGGGTTGAATTTACTTGTTAGTACGGGGACAAGGGCTGTGAGCGAAAATCCGATTCCACCCTGATGATACTGGAATTCTTTAATGAAGGGTTCAGTAGACCATCACCATGACAGGGCAAGCTTCTGCCCTGGGTGTTATGCAATTGCGGGTTGACTGGTAGAGTCACATTCAGTGCTAAGACATCGTCACATGGGAATGCAAAACAGAGAGAGAGACAAATTACTGTAAACCATCTCCTCCAATAGAGGGGGCTAAGGAAAGAAGATTTCAGTGAGGCTCTCCTCAGAGTTTCCTCCCAAATTGTTCTATGGGAGGGCATATGTGTTTGTGCATGTGTGTACTACTCCCCTCTCCCACATACCATGGAACAGGCTGCAGTGCCACCCCACAAATCCTATGGATCCTCTGGAGGCCAGAATATCCGAAGGGAGGTGTTGGATCCCTGATGCCTTCAGTACCACCTACAGAAATATAATACAGTTCCAGGATGTATTCAGTTTCTACCCTGAATTCTATATGGTGGGAGAGCAATGGAAATGAAACACATTCCCTTGTCTCCAGCCTATATACTCTGCCCTGGCCCACCCCTTTCCCCTTAAACAGAGCCCTCATAGGGAGGAAGCAACCCCTTCCTCCCCACCCCTCCGCCCTTTCCATGCAGAACAGTGAGAAGGCGGAATGATCACATGTGCAGATCAAGGAGAATGATCAAGTCGGGGCTCCTATTATTAATTAATATAAATCTTCTAAACCTTCATTTTCTTCACCTAACCGACCACACTTGATTACCAGGGATTTTCCTTGTTTGATAAACTGATTGCCTGGTGCATTAGATGTAACTCAGTCAGCTCCTGTTAAATAATTCAGGAGGTACTGGCAGTGGAGGATCCTTCTCTCTAATGTTCTCTGTTTCTCCTCCCACCCCCTGCCAGCATGTCTCTCGTGAACCACAGCTGTGACCCAAACTGTGTGATTGTTTTTGAGGGACGCCAGCTTCTACTTCGGTCAGTCCGGGAGATCCAGATTGGTGAAGAGGTAATTAACTTGTCCTCCCTTCCATCACTGACACCTGCAGCAGTGACATCTCCCTAAATAAATGCCAGACTGCAGGGCCACCAGTTTAATATTTTGATGATATATTGATGCTAGTTTCTATCACATAGCTATCAGGGAGAAGATGATAAATAGAATCATCTCTTCACACTGTCTGGGCCCCATAATCATTACGTCTCATAAATCACAGGCAGCCTTGATAAATTCTTGTTCCTCCATTCCTCCTTTAGGCACTTAATTTTGTTTGTATTTGAACGCCTTTACCCTGATGGAAACGCATGATATTTCTGGGACAATTGCAATGCTCACTAAGTCATCACAACAATAAGAGTTTGTCAGGCTGCCACCACACTGTAGCAGTAAACCTTTCGTTGGCAGTGAAAGTAGCAAGACAGAGTTTGTTTGCTTGTCAGTTTCATTAAAAATGACTTGGAGAAATCCCTTTCAAAGTGATTTATGTGTTTTGATCTGAGGAATTCTCAACTTTTTTTTAGTTGCCATTTGTACTACTTGTAAAATCAGTTGTGATGGCTGAAATATTTCCAGTAAACAAATATCACACTGACTTGGTGTTGAAATTTGCTGAATAAGGCCATTATCTTTCAAAGACTGATGCATGTGCTTAACTTTATGTACACGAATAGCCCCTCTGAGATCACAATACTCACCAATCTAAGTCTTTGTAGAACCAGGGCCTAGCTTCAATCCAATGCACTTTTGTGTTTCAGTCTTTAGGGGGATCTGAAGGGCATATAGATTCCACAATTACAGCTTTGCAATATTTGATATTCTATCGTCTTAATATTTTTGTTTTTTCAAAATCGTCTCCCTCTAAACAACAATGCAATGGAGATAAGTAAAGGGTGAAAATCCTTCATAGCCATAATAATAAGATAATTTAGGAAAATCAAGGAAAACATCTTTGCAGTACACACATTTTTTTGCCAGGAACAATCTTTCAGGATTCAATGTGTTTTTCTGCAGTTATCAACTGCAAACCTCAGTCAGCCTAAAATTCTTATTCAGGCCAGAAATGTATACACTTCCTTTCTTTTTCTACTACAGGCCCTTCTTACCTCTTACCAATTTACTGACGTGAGTTATTTATTACAAAAAAGAGTGGAATAAATTTTAACGAGGTCTCCACAGTATGCAAGAACAGATCCTAAACTCTAAAGCTACTTCATTTTTCTCCATGCTTGGATTTTTTTCCCAATTGAATTTCACCAAATGTTTCTTTGCACAAAATCAGCTTTTACAAAGGCCTAAAGGTCACTCCATATAGCACAACAATGGGCCTACTACAAGAACATGAATAGAATTCTGTTTTCCTGATTTGTAAGACCCGTGCACTAACTCTACTATTTTGATCTGAGAAGCTATGATAGACCAAGTCTAAATTTGGAAGTGAATGCGTCACTCATGGAAGCCTCTGGCCCAAAATCAGTGGTGAGATAACTATGGTGTTTATTAGTAGCTGGATGTAAGCTGCTCAGACTTTGGCAGCCGCAGCAGCTTAAAAATGAATGCAGCTTACACATGTGGGAGAAGATATTCAAAAACTCTTGGCTCCCATTTAGGCATTGAAATAAAGGCCAGATTTTCAAGATAGATCAGCTCTCAATATGTTGAGCTATTTTCAGTTGCTTGATCCAGAGGCGATCCTGGCAATTAGAGGCTGATTCAGCAGATATAGTGTACTTGGACTTTCAGAAAACCTTTGACAAGGTCCCTCACTAAAGGCTCTGAAGCAAACTAAGCAGTCATGGAATAAGAGGGAAAGTCCACTCATGGATCAGGAACTGGTTAAAAAATAGGAAACAGGTTTTTTCAGAATGAAGAGAAGTAAATAGTGGTGGTCCCCAGGGATATGTATTGAGACCAGTACTGTTAAACATATTCATAAATGATCTGGAAAAACGCGAAAACAGTTAAGTGGCAAAGTTTCAGATGATATAAAATTGCTTAAGATAGTTAAGTTCAAAGCAGACTGCAAAAAGTTACAAAGAGATCTCACAAAACTGGGTGACTGGGCAACAAAATGGCAGATGAAATTCAATGTTGATAATTGAAAAATAATGCACATTGGAAAATATAATCACAAATATCATAATGCCAACATATAAATCCATGGTACACCCAAAGCTTGAATACTGCCTGCAGTTCTGATCACCCCATCTCAAAAAAGATACTTTTCTCTGTACCTTTTCCATTTCTAACGTAACAAAAATGATTGGGGTATGGAACAGTTCCCATATGAGGAGAGAATAAAATGATTGGGACTGTTCAGCATAGAAAAGAGACAATTAATGGGGGATACGATAGAGGTCTATAAAATCATGAATGGTGTGGAGAAAGTGAATAAGGAATGTTATTTAACCCATCACATAACACTAGAACTACAGGTCACCCAATGAAATTAATTGTCATGAGGTTTGAAACAAAAGGAAGCATTTCTTCACACAACACACAGTCAACCTGTCGAACTTGTTGCCGGGGATGTTGTGAAGGCCAAAACTATAACTGGGTTCAAAAAAGAATTGGATAAATTTATGCAGGATAGGTCCATCAATGGCTATTAGCCAAGATGGTCAGATATGCAACCCCATATTCTGGCTGTCCCAAAGCCTCTTCCTGCCAGCTGCTGGGACTGGACAACAGGGGATGGATCATTTGATAAATGTCCTGCTTTGTTTATTCCCTTTGAAGCATCTGACATTGGCCACTATTCAAAGACAGGATACCGGGCTAGATGGGCCATCGGTCTGACCCAGTATGGCGTTCTTATGTTCTGTGCTTGTTTTGATGCCTAACTGGGAGCTGAGTTCTTTTAAAAATCTGGCCTGAAGAGGGCAGATGTGGGATAGAGGAAAAGCAACTAACAATGAGGGTTTGTGGTAAAACAGGTGCCCCCTCATTTAACCCAAAATAGTGGACTGAGTTACATGCCAGTTTATTATGCATTCATGTATGTTAGTGAAAAAATGGGTATAAATGATAACGTGATATTTGGAATGAGTATACCAAATTTATACCTGGAGAGAGGAAAAGAAAAATAATCTATTAAGAGCATGTAAGGAAAGGTAGGGGGCTCTGCATTATTTTATACCCTCATGTCAGTTGGTTTTCCTATTATATCTCTGCCTCTTTCGACGTTCTCTCTGGTATAACTGAGATCAGAATCTGATCCAATGGGGCAGTACAACGTGCAAGTCAGGGCAGAATCTGGCCCTGTATTGGTATAAAAACTGTGCTTCCAAAATGGATTTGGGTTCATATATAAGGCATTGTTTCAAGTCATGTAGCAACAAGAAACTTCAAAGAATTTTAAGAAAGCCATTTAGAAAGCCATTTACAGGCAGAATGTGGCACTTTAGGTAATAACAAATAAGTCTGAGTAATCAATTACACTTATTGGGGGAAAAAAGAATCACAGTAGTGACCCAAAGCCAGGGTATAAAAAGAGCAGTCTTGTGTAGTTATCCATACAGGAACAAACTGGATGGGAATTCTGGACCCTTGCAGGGGCAATACGAAGGACTAGAATTTTTTGTTTTCATTAGACCAGTGAGAAATAAAAATAATGTTGCACTTCTATAGTACCTTCCAACTGAGGATCTCAAAGCAATTTACAGACACCAGTGATTTATGATCCCCATTTTACCAGTGAGGAAACGGAGACATGAGGTATGTCAACACACCTGCTGGGAGCGAGTCTTACAGCCTGGGTTGACAGACTTGTGCTAGTGGGGCTCACGCTAGGATGCTAAAAATAGGAATATGGATGTTCCAGCTCAGTTTGGAGATTGGGCTCTGAAGCCTATGGATGGGAGTGGGCTTCAGAGCCCAAGGGCCAGTCCAAGCACAAATGTCAAAGCAATGTGTACACAGCTATTTTCAGTATGCTAGCCCGAGCCCTGCTAGTGTGAGTCAGTCAACCCAGGCTGCAAGACTGACTCTCTGCAGCTGTGTAGACGTATCCAGAGAGGTTAAGTCACTGGTATTAGACACTGCTATTGTGCTCATCTCAGTATAATATGAAGTATGTACCCATCCAATGTATTGAAGACGTTTAGAGAAAAAGTCCCTTTTGAGGAAATGGAGCCATGTGGAAGAACCTCCTCCAGTTCTGAAACTTTGAGTTTGTATTTCATTTCATTGTGAATCTTGGTCCTAGTAGAACTCTTTTACCCTCCCCTTATGGCCTTTCTCCCCTATTGTTTTCCTCATCTCCTTTCCCTGTATTGGGCTGTGCTGTTGCTGCACACAGCTTCACCTGGAGTGTAACTAGCAGCACAGTGAAACTGACTGAAATCCTGATGTTTGAAATTCTGGAAATGAGCACCTCTGAGAGCAGGATTTGGCGTATGCAGAGCAGAGCAGCAGGGGAGCAGAATGGAAGAAGCAGAGGTGAAGAGAAAACAAACAAGGGCTGGGAGCAACTTCAGATCTCCCTCTGCTGAAGCAGGAGAGAGGGGATCTCCTTCTGCTCTCTTGACCCTAATTTGTACCAGATTTCAGAGCATAATTGAGTCTAATAAGAGGAAGAAGGAAACGATGGAAGTCAGCTGTGGAAATTTCAGTCTGTCTCTCTCTCTAATTTAGGATACAGGAGTATCTCAAATTTGCTTCTAGTCACTCATACCCAATTATAAGACTTTCCTCCTTTTCCTGCTCCAACAATGTCAGTCTTAGAATTGATTTTCCTGGCTTTTGTTACCTTAGGACAAGCCCTAAGCATTATGTAAAGTTTCTTTCTTACATTTTAATTTCATTTTTGAAAGAAAGAAAATACTGGCTAAAGATGGGGTGTGGGGAAAAGAGATTAAAAAATAGAAATCATTTACTTGGAGATTAAAGTGGCTCCTTCAGGGATAAACTGGACTCTCAAATTCATATATATTCAGGAACATTTTTCAAACATGCAGTGAAACCTGCTCTGAAGACGGTGTCCAATGCTCCCCTGTCTTAAGTAACCACTTTAAAGTAGCTGCAAGGTTTCCATTGTAATTTTGTCTGACCTACTGTTAAAGACCAATTCTGGTACACAACCAATTTGGGTGGCTGGTTGCTTGTCTATGCTAATTACACTTTTGAAATTCTTATAACTGGTCCACAGTATATATATGCTGACAGCTTTTCAAACAGAATATCTGTTATTTAAAACATGTCTTTTATAGTATTAACACCCATTAACTGGTATTTGTTATAGTTCAGTTTTTAAATGAAATTAAATTATGGGACCTGGGGCCCAGATCCTCAGAGGGACCATTGGGGTGGAGTTGGATGCAGTAAAGCTTTGGTCAACTGAATTAATGGTGTAATTAATACTGTACATCCTACATGCAAAATACTATTAAAGCAGTATTTGATGAGTGTGAATATTTCATAATTAGATGCAAGGCTCATTTAACTTGTACATAATGAACAGATCCAAAATTAAAACAAGTGTAAGAGACAGACTTTAATAAAGGGTTTCTATGTATAACTGATTAAATGATTAGTATACACTTAGTCACTGGGAGAATGGTCATGTTTTGAACACTACATTTACATTTTCCCATTCAATCTGGCAACAACAATGCAGCTTAATTCAGCTCTCAGTGAAATCAATGGAAACATGCCCATTGATTTCAATGGGAGCTGGATCAGACCCTTTAACTGCACAAGAAATCAAGGGGTTTTAAAATTCCACATCATAGGGATTATTAATCATGTGTTGCCTTTCACTTCTTGGTCATAAATTCAGAGCAGGTCGTTAGTGACTGTTATCATCTGATAGCAGTTTATTGGCCTAGAAGAAATTGCCTTCAGTTTAGTTTCTATTATGAAGTTTCCTGCATAATACTTGGTACTCTTGTCAGGAGCACAAACAGAAAGGAAAAAGGGATTGAACAGGTCTAGAGACTGGAAATGGGCAAAGTGGGGGTTGGTTCACTCTCTGTTAGATTTAGGCTGTGCTTTGTGATTCAGGTTTGAGACTCAACCACTTCTAATGCTTAGATTCAGCAGTGTTGAAAGCTTATGACCTTTTCTCTCAATATTTTGGCCTTGAATGGAGGTTTTTTGCCTCTGTCTTCACAAACAAGGTCAGCTCCCAGACTGCTGCACTGGGCAGCACGGTATGGGGAGGAGGTGACCAGCCCTCTGTGGAGAAAGAAGTGGTTCGGGGCTATTTAGAAAAACTGGGTGCACAAGTCCATGGGGCCGGATGCACTGCATCCGAGAGTGCTAAAGGAGTTGGCGGATGTGATTACAGAGCCATTGGCCATTATCTTTGAAAACTCATGGTGATCGGGGGAGGTCCCGGATGACTGGAAAATGGCTAATGTAGTGCCCATCTTTAAAAAAGGGAAGGAGGAGGATCCGGGGAACTACAGGCCAGTCAGCCTCACCTCAGTCCCTGGAAAAATCATGGAACAGGTCCTCAAGGAATCAATTCTGAAGCACTTAGAGGAGAGGAAAGTGATCAGGAACAGTCAGCATGGGCAAGTCATGTCTGACTAACCTAATTGCCTTCAATGAGGAGATAACTGGGTCTGTGGATGAGAGGAAAGCAGTGGACGTGTTATTCCCTGACTTTAGCAAAGCTTTTGATACCATCTCCCACAGTATTCTTACCGCCAAGTTAAACAAGCATGGGCTGGATGAATGGACGATAAGGTGGATAGAAAGCTGGCTAGATCGTCGGGCTCAACGGGTAGTGATCAATGGCTCCATGTCTAGTTGGCAGCCGGTATCAAGCAGAGTGCCTCAAAGGTCGGTCCTGGGGCCGGTTTTGTTCAATATCTTAATTAATGATCTGGAGGATGGCATGGACTGCACTCTTAGCAAGTTTGCAGATGACACTAAACTGGGAGGAGTGGTAGATATGCTGGAGGGTAGGGATAGGATACAAAGGGACCTAGACAAAATAGAGGATTGGGCCAAAAGAAACCTGACGAGGTTCAACAAGGACAAGTGCAGAGTCCTGCACTTAGGACGGAAGAATCCCATGCACTGTTGCAGACTAGGAACTGAATGGCTAGGAAGCAGTTCTGCAGAAAAGGGCCTATGGGTTACAGTGGAAGAGAAGCTGGATATGAATCAACAGTGTGCCCTTGTTGTCAAGAAGGCTAACGGCATTTTGGGCTGTATAAGTAGGGGCATTGCCAGCAGATCGAGGGACGTCATCATTCCCCTCTATTCGACATTGGTGAGGCCTCATCTGGAGTACTGTGTCCAGTTTTGGGCCCCACACTACAAGAAGGATGTGGAAAAATTGGAAAGAGTCCAGCGGAGGGCAACAAAAATGATTAGGGGGCTGGAGCACATGACTTATGAGGAGAGGCTGAGGGAACTGGGATTGTTTAGTCTCCAGAAGAGAAGACTGAGGGGGGATTTGATAGCTGCTTTCAACTACCTGAAAGGGGGTTCCAAAGAGGATGGATCTAGACTGTTTTCAGTGGTACCAGATGACAGAACAAGGAGTAATGGTCTCAAGTTGCAATGGGGGAGGTTTAGGTTGGATATTAGGGAAAACTTTTTCACTAGGAGGGTACTGAAGCATTGGAATGGGTTACCGAGGGAGGTGGTGGTTCCTGGTTTCCCCTTTGCTCTGAGAGGCTAATACCTGATGCATCATATTTCCACCCTGTTAAGATTGCAGTCAGGCACTCAGAAGTTTGGAAATGCCGGAATAAAAGTTGCTTGGGCATCCTTAATTTGATCCCTTTATGTGTATGCATTATGATATACTCTTTAATTACATGACCATATACTATTCCCCACCCTTTCCCCGCCCCCCACACCTGTGGAAATTTTGGGTGCTTGACTTTGCAACCTAAGCAATGTTCTTTAACATTGTTATTCTATGTGTAATAAATATTAAATTACATTTGTAATAACAAATGAACAAAGTACAGGCATTATGCTTGCTTGTTAATTGCTTGTTTACTCATACTACCCACTAACTTGCAAAACTCAGTAACTGACAATTGGATCTCCCAGTCATTAGTGAAAATTGGTAAGGTTTCCCTGTAATTTCTGTTTGAATGCAGTCTCATGATTTAACTAGGAGTCACGTGAAAATGTCTCCCTGTTAGCTGAAGAATCTAGGTGCAAGATGTAGTAATGTGACCTGATATCTAGTTTTGCCCTTTTTGAAGTACATCAGTGGTCATTGGGTACCCTGTAATCCACAGCACGTGTGACTAAGCACCTGAGGGCTGATCTGAACTGCACTGCTATTTTGCTACAAACGCTCCTTCTTATTAGTGAATGCCTATGCAGTGCTCTAAACATATAGCACGTTATATAAATGCCATGATTCTGGCCCTTTAAAATTTCTTCTGGCTGGTGGGGAATGTTTTTCTTTTTGTTTTTGTTTTTGTTTTTTTAAACATTGGAATTTACCTGAATGGCATTAGAGTTTTTAAAGGGCTAGAAATGAACATAAGAACGGCCATACTGGGTCAGACCAAAGGTCTATCAAGCCCAGTATCCTGTTCTCTGACAGTGGCCAATGGCAGGTGCCCCAAAGGGAATGAACAGACAGGTTATCAAGTGATCCATGGCCTGTCACCCAATCCCAGCTTCTGGCAAACAGAGGCTAGGGACACCATTCCTGCCCATCCTGGCTAATAGCCATTGATGGACCTATCTAGCTCCCTTTTGAATCCCGTTATAGTATTGGCCTTCACAACACCCTCTGGCAAGGAGTTCGAGGTTGACAGATGCAAGTATTATTATTTAATTTCAATCAGGGTTGTTGTGTATCTTCTTGCAACTACTTGGGAATATTTTCAGCAAATCTAGATAGGAGGGTCTTATGTTTTTTCAGTCACAACAAAACAGTACTTAAATATTCCAATGATTGGTATTGTAGACATACTTAAAATAGTGAGATAGGATTGAAATAAAACTAACCTGGTTGACATATATAGAATGGAATGCATATTCTCAAATAAAAGTGGTATCTTTAAGTCAAAATATTTTTAGACATTTGGATGGTGCTGGAGTCCAGGATTACAGTCAGAGCTAGTCAGAAAATGGAATTTCCATCCCATAGGAAATTTGGATACTTCATCATTTGCTTTCATCTCAAAATCAGGACAAAAAGTTGAAGAATTAAAAGTTTTCTCAAAATTAAAAGTTCTAAATTTTTTTTGATTTGGTAGTGTTAACATGAAAAAAATTATTTAGATTTTCTCAGTGGGATGTATCCATTTATATGAAATCAGATTCTGTGACTGGGACATATTTTGGTAAAAAAAATTTCAACCAGTTCTACTTACCGGTATATACTGAATTGATGTTTAAGTATAACAGTTCTGTTTTTTCTGTTTGTTGCACATAGCTCACTATCAGCTATATTGAATCACTGATGCCCAGCAGTGAGCGTCAAAAACATCTGAAGCGCCAGTATTGCTTTGAATGCAACTGTCTTCTATGCAAGACACAAGAAAAGGTATGTTGAGTAAAATCTCCTGTCACTGAAATATAATTTCCCAAGGCCTGTGACCAGTTGCCGTCTCGATTTGTAGGGACTTATCTTTCGTTACTTGTACTGCGAGAATCCAGAACCAAATGGCCTTTGCCCTCAGTGCTGTTGATGTTCCTGTGAAAGACAAGTGTGAATGAAAGAGAAGCAGACCAAGTAATCTACCTGATAAGCAGCCTTACTTGCTAAAATGTGCAATGCCTGTTGAACCAGAATTTGTTTTCAGTCCTGAATATTGCAGGTCAGACCAGTTTGAGCTTCAGGGACTTCTGAACTTGAGGGTTAATGTGACTGAGCCATTATTTCAAAAGGAAAACCATTGCTCTTAACTGAAAACAGTTGTATGATTTTAGGGAAAACTATGTCCACACTAGCTCTAAAACTAAACCAATTTTGAAAAATATATACACCAGTAAAACCTTGAGCAATAGCGATCACCTGCTGCACCCACTGGAGGCAGAATTTGCTCCAGTGTTGTGAAACTCTGTTCCCAGCTGGCTCCACTCCTCTGCACTCTGCATGAAAGTTCCATTAAGAAGGTCGGAAGTTGTTTGTGGAGCATTGGGTCACTAAGCTTTAACAGCATTAGAACTGTGTTCAAGACTGCTCCCTAGGAGGGCACAAACAGGCACCTGTAGTTTGGTTCAAGCATGGTTTAATAGCTGTACAGTGTGAACACAAACTGGGCTAGCTACTTTTCCAACATGTTGTGAGATCCTGTGGAATATACAAAATTAGTCTGTCTCTGTAGCAGTGTGTATTTGTTCCTCTAACTAAACCTAGATTTTTTTTTTTAAATTGATAATGTCCGCTCTGGGTCCCTCTCTTAATGTAGCTGTGCCTTGCCAACAGACCACAGATGTGCATGACATAAAGTGATGCAAACATGATTCTAAAGAACGAGATGATGTAATGTGTGATCCAAGATGTAATTTCTACTCCAAAGAACAGAGAGAGAAATTCAAAATTTCCATTTCAATTACGTGCTGCCTCTGGATACTCAGTGTGAGGGCGGGGAGGGGTGCTGGTGAGTACAATGCCCCTAAAAGCATGCCAAGTCCTTGAAAAGTCTAACAAATCCTATGGCACTGCAGCCAGCACTTCAAAGAAAAGGGATCATAGCAGAATTATTTGCACACTAAGGGCCATAAACTGCTTTCTGTTCATGCGGAGAACTCTTTTTTGACATCAGTGGGAGTTTGGCATGTGAGGTGATGTCAATGTATAGCTGTAATGTTGGTCTGATATTGTAAATAGGGGAATAAAGGGAAGCAGCTGGGTTTCTACCTGCTTTTTTAACTGTTTTCTTGAGTGCCATAGCATCTGAGAATTGTTTGGGCGCGCTGCATCCAACACATTCATCTCAGTATGGGTACAGCCACATTTAGAAAGTTGAGCATCCAAATTCAACCTAAAAATCAGATAGGGGTTTTTTAACAGAGGCTGTGAAGTAGCACAGTAGCGACAGCGAGAAGTGCTCAGCACGTTGAAAAATGATGAGTGAGTTAAGAAGTAAGTTCTGTGGAGTATGCTGTACCACAAGTGCCCATGTATCACACTCACTAAATCTTAAGAGGGGTTGCGTGTACTCACATTGATGAAAATAATAAAGTGCTCTAAATGCCCTCCAGACAGTCATAAAGTCTCTCTCTTTCCCTCAATCTTTTTTAGAGTGAAACTTCTAGGAGAAAATCAATTTTGTGTAGTGGCAAATTTCCCAGGGGAAATGTTATTGCAAAATATTTTGGAAGGCTTGTTCTGGCAGCATTCTGAAATCCCCCAATGTTTCTGTATTATTACAATGTAAAGACCAAAGGCTCAGCCCTGAGAGATGCTAAAATCCTCATGCCAACTTCTGAGTGGTTTCAGTTCCCATTGACTTCTCTGGGAATTGAGGGCATGTCATTCATTGTCTATTAGGAAGACACCTTCCTATTGGGATCAGGTCAACACCTTTGGATGTGTCCTGCTGCAATCCCATAGTTAAAATCTATATGTCTTTTGAACACTGTTGGTAAATTGTGCTGACTTAGTAGTTGTGATTTCACTTTTATATTACTGCCACTCAACAGAACCTGGATTTCAGCTGCCAGTCATTTTTATCCATTGAACTACATGTCAGATTCAAACTCTTCCTTACAATGACAATAGTTTTATTTTGTTCTTTCAGCCATCTTCTCCTCCTTTGGGATAGACTAGAGTTAGATATATAATGGTCTGTGTATGGTGTAGTACTAAGAAGCTAATAGAATGAATTCACACCTCTGATTCTTAGAAAATCAAGTGGTAACCAATTTTCCATCACCTCTGTTTTCTAATTATATATGAATTCAGAGAACGATAGCATTACTCAGTTGCTCCATTGCTTTTTTGTGTGTCACTCATGTAAGCATTATCTAAAGTTTCTGGTGAAAATAGTTTTCTTGAACTATATATATATAGTTCAAGAAAACTATTTTATATATATATAATAATAATAATAATAATAATATCAGGAAACCAAAGAATATTTGTTTATTTTTCATCAAATGGGGCATTTTCCCCAAAATTGCATAGAACAGCAATATTCAGTCCTGCACCAGTGTCATTGTCCAATGTCTCATGACTAGATAAGGGAACTTCATACAGCTTAGAAGAGGAGGCTTCCAGTTTTCTAATGACATAATCCTCAACACTCCCCCAACCGTGGTTGGTGAGCTCTGTAGTTCCCCTACGAAGGGTTTCCATTATCTAGGCCTTAGACTGTAAGATATTCATGTAAGATATTCGGTATATTGATGATATTCTGTCTCTTCATATACTTTTATACAGCACCAACTGTAATGGTGCCCTGATCCTAGCTGGGGCTGCTGCCCATCAGTATGTATTAATAGTTGTCTAACTGTAAATACACATACATCTAAAGAACACACAACACTGTCCTATCACATTCTGTAATGATTATTAGCCTAGCTCACTACCTAATCATTGGATGTTTGAAAATGGAAAATTAACATAGTCTCATTGTAAGATCAACCAAAGTAAAATTTAGATTCTTCTTTAGAATGTTGGGTTACCACCAAATTTAATGGCATGGGTCACAACTCTAACTAATAAAAATAATCAATTTTGACCTACCTTGAAGGGCAGATTAGTAAATGGAATAAGAAAACCTTCAGAAAACTTGCTCACAGGATGCTTGCTGACTGTCAGTAGTTAAGTTATTATTACTGTAACATCTTCAGTTCATTGTACCTCTGATGGGTTTATACATTATTATTTGTTGCAGACATTTTAAGATCAATCTTCACTATGATTCGGAAACTGTTCCTTCCTAGAAGCTGAACTCCTGGCAGTGTATTACCAATCCAGCACACGAAAGCCCCTAACATCAATTATAATTAAAGATGGGATTACAGTGATGACAAACATTTTAAATGAGGGACTGTTTTTTTCCACTCTCATAATCCAAGGTATTGTTAATATTCTAAATTTTCAGCCAAGGATTTCAGAGAGATTTGTGTTTACCGAATCTCTTTGCTATGAGTTGTCCTTCTAATTGGGAGCCAAGATTTAATGTTTTAGCCTCGTTTGTTTTTTGAAATCCTTTATTTAGTAGTAGGTGCTGTCAAGGTCAGAAGCAATGAACTTGAATTTGAATCCCCAGTCATTTTTCCATTTGGCCAGCATTTGAATGTTGCCAGAGCTAATTATAATGTAATGGCATAAAGGTTTTATTTGTTTAATCATTTTATTGTTTTCCTTTAGTACTCATTCACTCAAACAACAAGAAGTCCGGAGTGAAAGTTACAGGTGCAGGCATTATATAATGACACATGAAGAGAAGGGAGTTACCTCACAAGTAGGGACTGTCCGGTTTGGCCAATGTACATGGCAGAGGGGCATTGCTGAAATCACCTACTACAGGACAGGCCCAACAAGGAAAATAACAGAACACCATTGGACCCCAGCTAAAACTTCTCCATCACATTATCAATGATCTACAACCTATCCTGGAAAACGATCCCTCACTCTCACAGACCTTGGGAGGCAGGCCAGTCCTCGCTTACAGACAACCCCCCAACCTGAAGCAAATACTCACCAGCAGCTATACACCACACCACAGAAACAGCAACCCAGGAACCAATCCCTGTAGCAAACCTCGTTGCCTACTCTGTCCCCATATCTACTCTAGCGACATCATCAGAGGACCCAACCACATCAGCCACACCATCAAGGGCTCATTCACCTGCACGTCTACTAATGTTATATATGCCATCATGTGCCAGCAGTGCCCCTCTGCCATGTACATTGGCCAAACCGGACATATTCCAGATAAACAAATGATACAGTGGTGGGCAATCTACGGTCCGTGGGCCGCACACGACCCATCAGGGTAATCTGCTGGCAGGCCATGAGACAGTTTGTTTACATCAACCGTCCGCGGGCATGGCTGCCCGCAGGTCCCAGTGGCTGCGGTTCGCCATTCCCGGCCAATGGGAACTGCGGGCTGCCTGCGGGCCGCAGGCTGCCCACCACTGATATAACGTATCGTGAGGTTTCTTTTTGAATTGCTAACTGTGTTGCTGCCGCCTTCCAGAAGTCAGTGTCCAGACTTTCCAAGAGGCTTTCTATCCTGATTGCTATTTTCATGTTTACTTATTTATTTGTACTTAGCATGTTCTCCAGGTGCAATATTAAAGATGAAATCTCAAAATCATTCCAAAATATATTGGGGGTGGGGAGCAGGAGCATGAAACAAACAGGGACCCTTGAAAACGTTCCCACTCATACAGCTAAACATAACCCTCCCACCCCAAACCATAAAGTCCAAAGGAGGAAAGTCTGTGGCTCTTTGCAAGATTCTATGAGCGTTGCTGCTAGTGGTATGGTTAATCACACAAGACTAGTTGAAACTATCCAGTTCCAGAAGATATAACAAATGACTGTTTGTTTCTCTTCTTCCTTTTACAAGTCTGGGAAGGGAA